AGGAAGGGGTGAAAAAGTGAAAAAGATATATTGGTCATTTATTATTTTAAGACTTTAAGATTTTTGTTAAATTTGCTTAATAAGATAGTATAGATGTATATATAGAGAGAGGAGGGGGTAGGGGGTGAGTTATTATACAACCCTTTACATGTGTATAACTAATACAATCCAATCACGACCGTCCATTTAACTTGATGAATATGTGATTTCATAGAAGTTTTGATTGTTTTCTAATATAAAGTATTGATCATAATTAATGAATCATATTCATCTTTCATAAGTATTCAGATCATAATAAATGAACTCTCATTATTTCCATAAATATCTCAATTTATTAGGTTGCATTTGAAACGAGATATATATATATATATATACACACACACACTTAAAAATTATGTGAGATTAGTTTATTTTTTTTATTTTTAAAATTTTACATTAAAGCATTGTGAATGTAACATTCACAGTGTTTTTGCTGTGAAAGTTTGGATTGTTTTTACCTTCATAAATATTTTGTTTCGAAGTTTCAAGTGTCTAAATATGGTCTCACGAAAACAAGTTAGTCTCACGCAAACTCAACTATATATATATATATATATATAGAGAGAGAGAGAGAGAGAGAGTCAGGTTCAAACGAGAACGATACATATTTGAGAGAATAATGAAACGATCGAATAACATGTTATTTCACAATAACATTACATACAAAATCACATGTGATTCACGCACCTTTGTCCCGCAACTTGAAGACGCGGTCAAAGTTGCTCGAACACCTTTTTTTTATTGTTAATGTAAAACTACATGTGATTTTGCACGTGATTTAATCATTTTTCTTATTCTCTTAAATAGTTATATTCTTATATATATATATATATGTATATATATATATATATAGAGAGAGAGAGAGAGAGAGAGAGAGAATTTTATATGAAAATGGTAACTAAATAAAAGAATAAGAAAATGGTCAAATAACATGTAATTTTACACTAAAAATCATATATGATTAACGCAAAATTTGTCGCGACTGAGGTCGCGGGCGATCTCTCCTGCAAAACCTTTTATTGACACTTAAGGTCTGTTTAGTTTGCAGGAATGAAATGGATTTCGAGGGATTTAGATTCCAAAAATCCAGATCCTTTAATGAAATCCAAATCCCTCAAAACCATTCCATCAAACCAAACGCCCTTTAATACAAAATTACATGTGATAAGTTATCGTATCACAACAAAAACACTCTTATCACATGTGATATTACACGCGATGGGGCTAGTGATGTACAAACAACTTGGTGCGCAACCTAGCACGCACCAAAGGCCATCCACGTCTTTGATTTAATATAATATGTGTATTATATGTGATGAAATATAGTATCACATAAGATTGACTATGGTAAAAAAAAGGTCTTATCGTCTCCTCATAAAATGAAAGTGTTATCGTTTGAACCTTTCTTATACATTGTCTTTGTCTTTTTTTAATATCTACCAGATTCTTAAAAGTTTCTTTAAAATATAAAATTTAAATTTAAAAAAAAATTACATTCAAATCCTATATAACAATATGTTCTGCATGGATAGATGAGCAGATTTATAAGCTCCTTATAAGCTTAAAGTTGTGAACTATCAATAACTTTCACCATTATTTTAAGTTAGATTATAAGTTATTTTACCATACTGTTGCTATCGAATTTTTCGTTTTTGATATTACAAGATTGATTATATTATTTATGATATTTTATATATTTAATAAAATATTGTATATCTAAAATTTTCTTATTGGTGAAATATAATAAAATATATTTTTTCTTAATTTTTTTTTAATTTTAATTTAAAAACTTTTCTCTTCATTTTGTAGGAGTGAACTTTGGTTTTGGTTTTTGAACTTTGACTATTTTAATGAAAATAGTCCCTAGACTTTATTTATTTGAAATATGTTCCATAATGTTTGTAAAATCTTTTGGTTTTTGTCTTTTCGTGTAACGAATGTTAACTTTTTTGTTAGCTCCAGTTAAATTATGGATATTTTGGTCATTTTATATTTTAAAACTATTTTCATTTTTTCCAGTAATGAACTCCACCTTCTATTTTTATTTTCCTTTTTCTTAGAGGCCGTTTACCAAACACTTATTCGGTAAACGCTTGCCGGTAAAATTTAACATTATCATTTTCTTACCTTGTAAGATTTTAGTCCACTAAAATTGTATCGTATGCAACAATTTATCCGGTAAGCGCTTACCATGGTAAGAGTCGCCATCCTCACTTACCGGGTAAGACTCTTGGTCATTTTCTCGCTCTTATCGAGATAATTTTTGTTCTTACCATATTCATCCGATAAGGTAATGTGACTTGGTGTTCACTTACCCGACTAAGCGTTTGGTAAACGGCCCCTTACTCATTCTTCTATTTCAGCTCTCTTTGATTGAGGAGGAGTGGTGATATTGGATTTCCTTTTTATATCCGATGACTGTTGGTGGTAGGTTGAGAGTAAGATGGAATAACAGTGGTTCGTCGATACGTTGAACGTTGTGCAAATCTTTCACGATGAAGCTTCATCGCCGTCTCGGACAATCTTTATTTTCCATCTGCATTTGATAAAGAAATGTGTCTGTGACAACTTCAAGAAGTACATGATTTTCTAGCTGATGGAGGTAGGGGTGCTCAAAAACCCGACCAATCCAATCAACCCAATCCAATGTTAAATAACTCAACTCGAAATAACCTGATGTCTAATCGAGTTGTAAAATTTTCAAAGTGTAGGTATTGGGTTGGCATTGAGTTACTATTATTTGAACTCAACCCAACCCGATGAACCCGATATCATTTTATTTCTTAGATTTAATATGATTATTGAATTTATATTAATATATACATTAGACAATTACGCTATCACGTACGCTCTTCATATATACATATTTCAATCCATTCTCCATCTCTATATAACTCATTCATATATATATATATATATATATATATATATATATTCAGTAACTGTTAACATATACATGTAAATTGAGAAAATTAATTGAATGTGATATACGTAAGAAGTATGAATAAGTTGTATCAAATGGTTGATGAAGAAAAAGAAATTATGAGTAGGGAAATAACATATTCAAAGTTTGAACAATATTTTAATATACCAAAGTATCAATCTAACCAACCCGATCAACCTGTACGGTTTGGATTGGATTGGATTAAGATTTTTCAAACCACAAACATTGAGTTTGGTTATTCAAATGTTTTCAATCCGATCAACCCAACTCATGAACACCCCTAGATGGATGGAGTTCAACGACGAAGTGATAGGTGGGGTGTCGGGGATGAAAAGAAGGGGGTGGGGGAGGGAGAGTCTCCTGTCTTTTTTTACATTTTATGATATCACATGTATATTTTACGATACACAATATACTACAATTAATTAAAAAAAATAAGTAAAATGACCAAAACGCCTCTCATTCAACTGGACGAAAACCAAGAGATTTTGCAAACGTCAAAGATTATTCGAAATAAATAAAATTTAGGTACGATTTTCGTTAAAATAAAAGAAATTCAGGGATCAACTAATTATATAAATTTAAAATAATTATTTGTTTCAAAATTAAATATTGTTATTTTTTCACATAAATTGATACTTTTGATCTAATTAGGTCTTATAATAG